TTTTGTGGATAAAATTGTAAAATTTCTCAGTTTCGACATTTGCTATGTTATCTCTGTTCTATTGTGAATAAAATACTGACTGGTGTGATTTGAAAGTAATTCCGTTTTGATTTTATTCACAATTTACACTTTGTCCCAACTATTTTGGAATTGGGGTTGTATATATATATATATATATATATATATATATATATATATATATATATATAGGGTATGGAGAAATGGAATACTACAATATCTGTGAAATACTTTAATATTTTAATGGAAACAACCAAAATCGTATCAATCATGTCTCTGGCAAGGCGTAGTGTCAGGAGACAAAGCTTGTGCGCCATTAGTGTCATTCTGTGGTAGTGCTACAGCGTCTGGAATGACTGTGGAGTCCAATGTGAGAGTGGCAGTCCCTGCTGCACACGGCACAGATGAAGTTGGAGGAGGGCAGAGCGGAGCTGTGTTTGCGGCAGGTGCATTTCTCTTCAGCTTTCTGGTGGCGTTTCACATTTGCTTTCTCCATTCCCACTCTCACTGTCCGTCCCCAGCAGGCACGGTCACTCGCAGCATCTTCCCAGTTGTTTGGATCAATTCCGCATTTTTTGAGATCACATTTGCATGTGTCTTTGAACCGCAGTGCGGGGCGCCCGATTTTCCTGACTCCAGTTTCTGACTGTGCGTACAGAAAATATTTGGGGATGCGTCCATCGTCCATACAATGAACATGCCCGAGCCATCTCAGGCGCTGCTGACTCAGAAGGGAGTACATGCTGGGGACTCCAGCACTTGACAGTATCTCACTGTTGGTGATGCAGTCTTGCCACTTGACTCCAAGGATGCACCTGAGGCATCACAGCTGGAAAGAATTCAGGCGGCATTCTTGCATCATGTAGGTGGTCCAAGTTTCTCTGCCGTATAGAAGTGTGCTGAAAATGCATGCCTGGAAGATGGTGTTTTCTGTCAGGTATTTGTTTTCCAAGGCTTTCTTTGTCAATTTGGACATGGTGCCAGTGGCTTTGCCGATTCTGTGGGAGATTTCTGAGTCAAGGCTCAAGTTCATGGAGATGGTGGAACCCAGGTAGGTGAACTCGTCCACTACCTCGAGGATGTGGTCGCCGATTTCGATTTCAGAGGCCTGGCTTACATCCAGAGCACTCACGTTGGTTTTCTTGAGGCTGATTGTGAGGCCGAAGTTGTCGCGCACAATTACAGTTTTAACTTTGGTCTTGGCGTGGAGGCGAGCCATGTTGAAGAGTTTGCCATCGGTGCGGGTATGGAGGTACACACTATCAGTGGAGGAGTCAAAGGAATGGGACAAGAGGAGGGAGAAGAAGATTTCAAAGAGTGTTGGGGCTAGGAAACAGCCCTGTTTCACACTACTCTTTATGGGGAAGGGGTCTGAAGTAGATCCATCAAAGGACACGGTGCCCCTCCTGCTTTCATAGTAGGAGACAACCATGCTGAGGTGCTTGTGGGGACAGCCGATCTTCTCTAGGAGCAGGAAGAGACCTTTTCTGCTCACAAGGTCAAACGCCTTCGTCAGGTCAATAAAGGCTAGATAGAATGGCTTTAGTGTTTTCGTGACTTCTCCTGAAGCTGGCGCACAGTGAAAATCATGTCCTTGGCGGATCTCTCCGCCCTAAAACCACACTGGGACTCGGGTAAACGCGGGCAGCCAGTACCTGCAATCTTGTGAGGAGCACCCGGGCAAAGACTTTGCCGACAATACTCATGAGGGAAATGCCTCTGTATTTCCCTCATGAGAATTGTCGGCAAAGTCTTTGTTACGGTCTGAGTGATCGCCTTTGTTCTTGTAGAGCATGATGATGGTGGCGTCACGTATGTCTTAGGGGACAGTGCCTTCCTTCCAGCAAAGACGGAGCAGCTCGTGGAGGGGCTTAAGGAGAGCAGATATGCCGGACTTGATCACCTCGGGTGGGATGCCGTCGCTGCCAGGAGCTTTCCCTTTTGAGAGAGTGTCTATGGCCTTGCCAAGCTCCTCAATGGTAGGCTCAGAGTCAAGCTTGTCCATGACTGGGAGCGGAGTGATGGAGTTGAGGGCAGCATCGGTGACGACTGTCTCTCGCACATAAAGTTCTGAATAGTGTTCCACCCATCTGTCCATTTGTTCTTTGGGCTCTTTAATGGGCTCTCCGGATTTTGTTTTGAGTGAGGCAGTTTTCTTTTCTGAGGGACCTAAAGCTTTCTTAATGCCGTCGTACATACCTCTGATGTAGCCGAAGTCTGCAGCTAGCTGGATTTCATTGCAAAACTTGAGCTAATAGTCGTTGCCACAACGTCTGGCAGCAATCTGGGCTGCATTACGTGCAACCCTGAAGTGCTGTCAGAGTTTTTTCACTGGGGTTCTTTTTTTTTTTTTTTTAATTAGTGAAAAGAAGTAGACAGATAAAAGAGCAGAGGATGGACGGCAACAAACGCACATGAACAGAAATGGAAGCAATTCTATGGGAAGAGGAGGGGAGACGGGAAAAAAGAAGAAAAAGGTAAACAAAGTAAAAGCAGGGCAGATGGAGTGTTGAATTGATGAGTCCTGAGTGCACAGTCCAATAAGTGATGGGAATAATAGATTGGAGGGAGAGCATTTTTGTGGAGGTGTGGCAAAAAGGTAAACAAAAAAGATAAATGGAATATTATGATGAAAATAAACAGAAAATAAACAAATCAATAATAATGATAATTATGAATAATGTCAGGATAATAGAAATAATAATACCATGATGATGATGATGATAAAAAACAATGATAGAAATAATAATAAAAATAATAGTAATAATAATAGCAGCAGGGTTTATACGCTTACTGGGGGTCATGGCAGACTGGGCCATTGCAGGGCGAAACGGTGGCCCCACACAACCACCCCAGCGACAGAGGCGGGGCCCCATGGTGGGGCACAAACAGGGATCAGCCAGCAGAGTACCCCCTCATGCCCACCACTCATGCATTCATGCATGTGCTGTACACACATGGGCTCCTGTGCTTGGGGAGGGTTTGGGAGGTGACACGCACTCACTGCATATGGGTCGCGCCCAGACCCAGGGGAGAGCGCTAGCCCATTACAGGATAATGTGCTCCCTCCACTCCCTTTTCTTCCTCCTCTGCATTATGTTCTGCCACCTCTCTCTCGCTTTTTTAATTTTTTAGGGGTGAATGAGAGTGAATGCCCTCCCTCATGAAGTTCCATCTGGAGGTGGCATCCTGACCCTGGGGATCCTCGAGGGCTTTCTCTAACTCGCTGAGGAATTTATGCAGGTGCTCTGGGTCAGGAGTCCTTGCTGTATTTATGCGGGGACAGCCTGGTTTCTTCGCGTGGTGGAGTTTCTTTGGCTCCAGCCTGATGCAGCTGCACACCTGGATGTGATCAGTATTGCAGTCGGGGCTGTGGTGGCTGTTGAGTCGAGAGAACACTGGGCAGGCTGCGTCAACCTCCACAACCTCCATCTTTCTCTCAATTCCAAGAAGACCAAATGCATTTTATTTGATCGAAAAAACCTCAATGCCTTCTGTACCCCTAAGATTTTCCGCGCAGATGGCTCAGAGTTGGAGTTTGTTAGCGCCTTTAAATACCTTGGCCTTTGGCTGGATTCATCTTTGACATTTAATACACACGTCGATAACCTTCGGTCAAAAGTCAAGACCAGACTTAGCTTTTTGTATCGTAACAAGGCCTCGTTTGCACACCCCGCCAAACACACACTCGTGAAAATGACTATCCTTCTTATGTTTGATTATGGGGACACAATCTATAAAATGGCACCTACAGGCACCCCAAGTAAGCTCGACTCCTTGTTTCATTCGGCAATTCGCTTTGCCACCGGCGCACCTTTCACCACCCATCACTGTGTTCTCTATAAACTAGTAGCTTGGCACCTCCCTTCACACCAGGCGCCGGCTACACTGGCTGCAACTGGTCTAAAAAACCATCCTTGGAATGACGCCGCGCTACCTTTCAAACCTCTCGCACTTTCCTGGCAGCACTTACCACTTAAGATCCACTGATTTCATTATGTTATCCATCCCTAAGGTCCATACTGCCCTTGGCCGTAATTCATTTCGTTTCGCTGCCGCACGTAATTGGTATAAATTGCAAGACACGCTTAAACTTACAGCCTTTACATCATTTAATATGTTCAAGCAAAATTGGCAGAAGATCATTGTTGACTGCTGTACCTGCTGATGACCCCACCCCTCTCTCTTCGCCATTAAAACTCCACGAATAATATCCTGTAACTCGCTTTTATGTACTTTTGCCTTTTTGCCTGTTCCATCTCCTATGCTGTTTGTACCCATCTTTGCTTCGTGTTTTGCTGTGTGCTGACAATGTTGATTTTACGTGCTCCTTTATGTGCTTATGTGCTCTTGCCGAGGCCTCTTGGCTCGGTCATCATTGTAAATGAGAACTGATTCTCAATGATTTGCCTAGTTAACTAAAGGTTAAATAAAAAAATTTTTAAAAAAAGAGTCATCTGATGATGACTAGATCAAGCTGGGGCCATCTGTGGTACCAGGGGTGTTTCCATGAAACATGGTCCTACGGCTTGCCGTCAAAAAAGATGTTGGCGATGCACAAACCATACAAGGAGCACAGTTCTTTTCTTTTTTTTTTAATTTGGCATCTCCAATCCCACCCGAATCTGGAATACCCAATTGAGGAACTATGTATAAGCCTTGCTCGTATGCGACCCCTTGTTGCTAATTCAGGAGAGAGGGACGGTTCACGGCTCTCCTCCGAAGCACCTGCCCGTCAACTACTGCTTCTTATACACTCATTGGTTGAATCCTCGCAAGTTCAGAACGAGGGCGGAGGATACCCGAACATGAACAGGCTTAGAATCTTCCTGACGAGCGTCTGGCTGGCCAACAGGAGGCGCTTGAGTGATGAACAAAGCAACCATTATATTTCCCTTCCTGGTAGTCCATTCCCAATTTGCATCCCTGTAGTGCAATGGCCAATTGTGCGCTACTCTGAAAAGCTGCTGACCACTGCTGGTTGGTACGACCGGGGCTCGAACCCGCGCCGTAATAGTCACTTCTGCTCCGCAATGCGGTGCTTTAACCGAGTGAGCTATCCGGCCGCTCAGGAGCACAGTTCTAAAAGTCTTTTGCCATTTTCATTCATTTTGCCGATACTGTGGTGACCAAGACAAGAGGGCCAGGCTTGATGGTCAGATCTGAGTCTGGCGTTGAAGTCACCGAGAAGCAGGAGAGGAGCTCCTTGGCTTGGGGGACTTTGCTGATTTCTCTGACCAACACCTCCTAGAAGCGGTCCTTAGTGTCTTCAGGCGCACTCAGAGTGAGGGCATAGACACTGAAGATGTTGATAGGGCCAGCTCAAGTGGAGAAGCAGAAGGACAGGATGCGTTCTTAGCCTCCGCTCGGTGGCACTATTGTTGCAAGGAGTTTGTTGCTGACTACAAAGCCAACTCCGTTTTGGCACGGTTCTTCTGGCTCCTTTCCCTTCCAGAAGGTGTACTTTTCCTCCCATCGAGATCTGTTGGAGGTGAGCCTGGTTTCTTGAAGGGCTGCGATGCTGACATTGAGTCTAGAGAGTTCTCGGTCAATGATAGCGGTTTTTGAATCATCGATCTGTTTTAAGTCATTGGAAAGTCCAGGGCACATGGTGCATATATTCCAGCTTGAGATATGAAGTGCTGGAGACTTCTTGCTTTTCTTTCTTGATTTGTCTGGCACAAGACTGATCCACTTGTCATGCCGCAAAGCACTACGCCCCGAGCACCCATCGGGGCAGGCGGATTTTGGCCCCATGGCTGAAGAGCCCCATTTGCCCCGAGCAAACTGGTTTTAAGGCACCAGTAATTTGCCTTCACCCCTTCTCCTGTTAGTTCACAATGGGGTTCACCACGTGAAGGTAGGAGTTGGACTTGGCTGTCAGAGGCTATTTGAGACGCACGCCCTGGAAGCACTTTGAGTGTAAGAGCTCATCCTCACACCCCATTTCCTGGCTATGACAGGCGTTATGAAGCCCATCAATCATGTAATTCAAAATAAATTAACAAAATCAAGGTTTAATGATTATTGGCACCCTTCATTTAGTACTTAGTGCATCCACCTCTGGCAAAGACAACAGAATTAAACAGAATTGAATTAAAACAGCCCCAAAACATCACTGACCCACCATCAAATTTCACGGTAGATATGAGGTGCTTTTCCTTGTATGCATCTTTGTTTTGACACCAAACACGCCAATGCTGCATCTGACCAAATTGTAAAAATTTGATCTCATCTGACCAAAGCACCTTGTTCCAGTCATTATTTAAATGACGTTTGGCAAACTCCAAACGCTTGCTCCTGCGTCTTCTGATCAGAAAAGGCTTTCTTCTGGCAACCCTTGCAAATAGCCTGAAGTTTTGGTGGTGGTGGTGGTGCCTGAAGATGCTTTTTGAAAAGTGGTAACCCCAAGATGCCGCCAAGGCCTGCAATTCCTCCAAAGTGATTTTTGGAAATTTTGTTGCTTTTCTCACCATCCTCCTCAGTATCCTGGGGGGCAATATGCAGTTGTGTCCTCTACCCTTGAGGTTTAACATTTCCATTTCTTTGGAATTTTTTAATAATTGGCCTGAAGTGCTCAGTGGCATATTCAATCGTGTGAGAATCTTCTTGCAGCCATTACCAGATTTATGAAGGCCTATGACCATTTGCCTCTTTTGAGCAGACAGCTGTTTTGTTTTCTTCATGGTGTTGGATGACAAACAGATATTGCATGTGTGTTACCTGATTTTCATACCCAAGTCAAACAGGAAGTGATGTAATGGCTTAAGTCCCCTCAGACTTGGATAAAACTTAAATAAGTGGAATTTACTACCTAGTTTAATTTTGGTAGATGTTTTTTTTTTTTTTTTTTTTTTACAGTCATCTTTAAAGGAGGAGACAGCACCTCGTCAAAGTATATTTCAGCGGAAAGTAGAATACTTGAAGTGTCTAAAACGCATAGTTTTATAAATTTTAATTTGGTTAATGATCCTGTGCAACGCATTTTTAAACCAGCGAGTCTTCAAATTGGCTTCTATACCAGGGGGCAGATATTTTTACTTGGGGAATCTTCTGATTTTGAATTTGATCTTCAGAAACCTCACCTTTAAATGCTTAAGAACCTTGACCTCTCGCAGTTTTCATCTCCCGATTAGCAGTTGCTCAGACTAATTGGTAAAAAACCGACGACAGTCTAATTTACTTTTGATAGCATTGCTATGCACTGCACCACAAAATTATGAGGCATCTTCTGAGCATAAATGACGACGTAAAATATCAATATGCCTTCATAATTTCAGCGCTCGTAAAGTGGCACAGATTTGATGAAATTAGTTTGCATGGCTGTGGGAATCCTTTCTTTCTTTTGAATGTTGTCATGGCTAAAGGGCGCTGTAACGGTTGCACAGCTGTGACAATCCCAAGGACGGCGAAAATGAATGCTGCAAAGTCAGCGAAAGTTTTGGATTTACGATGACATATCAATGATATAAATGTAGGCAATGAGAATTCACATTTCATTACCATTTCTAATTATAGGTCATGAATCGGTCGTGGTCGCTCAGTCGATAAATCGATTGATTGTTAATCAGGCCAGCTTATTTAAAAACAGCTTGCGGGCAGCCAAGCCAAAAACGAGAGCTTACTGAAGGCCCTTTGAACTATTTTATGGCCTGGATGAAAGGAAAGAGAACAACTGAAGTCACGTAAGAGAATAACTGACGCACAAGCACCACGGCACTGGCGTTTGATTGGATAATGCGTTCGAAATGCACACTCACCCACTATATAGGGCACTGTGTAGTGAATGTTCTACATTGAAAACAATATAGAGAGTGAGTGAGCGAGTGGACAAGTGTGCATTCCGAACGCAGCCTTAGATTCCCCAAGTCAAAATGTCTGCCCCCTGGTATTGACGCCGATTTGAAGACTTTTCGGGTTTAAAATGCATCGCACTGGATCATTACCAAATTAAAATGTATAAAACTATGCGTTTTAGACACTTCAAGAATTCTACTTTCTGCTGAAATATACTTTGCCGAGGTGCGGTGTTATTGAGAGTTTTTCTATAAATATGTTTTTTTTTAAATTCTAAAGGTAGTGTTTGTGCATTGGCAGTCTGAGGTGCAAGTAATTTTGGAGCCCACTGTATGTGTACCTCTTTCTGGTAGAGCTGGGGCCTCCATCTTCAGAGCCTGGCTCTCCTGTGAGACTCATTTTAGAAACAGCGCCCCGTCTCACCAGACTGCAACATAGATAATACAGTGCACTGAAAATATAGACACTCTCTTATACACATGTACTTGATAGACACTGTTCAGTGAAAGCACTGTTCTGTTCAATTCAAACTACATGCTTTCTGTGTTCACATCTGGGGTATGTTTACACTGCAAAATGTTACTTTGTGATATTGTACATACTGTATATTTGTACATTACAATGTGAGGTCAGTCCAACAGTAATGCAGCTTTTCGACTGAAGCTGGAGGTAGCCAGGTTTGGGCGAAAACACTTATTTAAGGAGAGTTCACTTTGCTGTCCCCTTTCACAAGGGCAGGGCCCAGGAACAGTAGGACCCCAGCCCTGCTCCATGGGGGAGGGGAGGGGAGTGGAGGGGGGGAGCGGATGATGGGATGCCCCCCCCCATTGTAAGGCTGGCCCACCCAATCACAAGCTAATGAGAGAGGGAAATTATTCCACTCACTGAATCATTAGCTGTGTCCACATCTGTTTCCTATTACCCACTTTATTCTCAGAGGGAATTTCTCTTTCCCAACACAGTTCACTACAATTTCACCTTTAATGCACTCAACAGCTAATGTACACTGACTGGACATGAACCCCTTTGCGCAGAAGCCAAATCTGGCTATTTATGTGTTACCTTATTTAAGGCTTAATAATTCAAGATTGCAGCTTCACAGAGGAAGGGTATGGCTCAACTGAGTCAAGACACTTGTAGCATATAGAATTCCATCGTATTTTAGTTTATTTTCATGATTTTGGTAAAGAAAAAGGGCTGCAAACAAAAAATTTTCATGAAAATTCAGCATTGAAATTAAAAACAAGAGGCCTGTCAGCCTAGAGAGCTCCGCGGAGGATGACTGAAATGTCCATGTCATAACTTAATTTCAGAAATTCTTGAAAACTATTGCAATATTAACACATATGACACATTAATGAAAGACTGAAAAAATGAGAACAAACACTGATTTTCTAAGTCCAAAATGCTGAATTTCTCAAAAACCGGGATGTAAAATTTTCTAATATTAGCAGGGGATATTCAGAACATCATAAGGAAGGCTCACAACAAATTAGACAAAAAGTTATCAGACAGTTTTTGAGATATTAATGAAATACTGAAAAAATGAGCACAAACACTGATTTTCTAAGTCCAAAATGCAGAATTTCTCAAAAACCAGGACGTAGAATTTTCTAATTTTCACAGTGAATATTCAAAATATCATAAGGAAGGCTCGCACCAAATGGAAAAAAAAAGTTATCAGACAGTTTTTGAGATATTCAAATTTGAAGTGAAAAGTTGATGGCGGACGGACAGACAGACACAGGCAGATACACAGACGTCGGACGACTTGGCATTAGAAAAGCTCCCCTGACTGCTGACTATCGGCACAGCGGAGGTAAAAATTTGCAGAAACACTGATTTTTTTAAGTCCCAAATGCTGAATTTCTCAAAAACTGGGATGTAGAATTTTCTATTTTTGCAGGGGATCATCAGAACATCATAAGGAAGGCTCAGAAGAAATAAGACAAAGTCATCGGACAGTTTTTGAGATCTTAATGAAAGACTGAAAAAATGCGCGCAAACACTGATTTTCTAAATCCCAAATGCTGAATTTCTCAAAAACCGGGATGTAGAATTTTCTAATTTTCACAGGGGATCATCAGAACATCAAAAGGAAGGCTCACAACAAATTAGACAGAAAGTTATCAGACAGTTTTTCAGATTTTAATGAAAGACTGAAAAATGAGCACAAACCCTGATTTTCTAAGTCCAAAATGCTGAATTTCTCAAAAACCCGGACGTAGAATTTTCTAATTTTCACAGTAAATATTCAGAATATCATAAG